CTTCAAAACCAACTGTTCGGCAGTAGATTTGGTCGCATCATATGGACTGACGTATTGATTGGAAGCCAAGTAAGGGAGAGTTTCATCTCCATTCTCAATCTCTTTCCCACCGAAAACGACACCGTTGGAGCTCAAATACACAACCCTCGTGATCCCTTTCTTCACACAGGCTTCCAAAACGTTACGCGTCCCTTCCACGTTGACTTGCTCCATCCGACGAGTCCGAACCATTTCTTTACCCGAACCACCGTACGAAGCAAGATGTATCACACAGTCTACTCCTTCAAGAGCCTCCTCCACGTCCTCTTTACTCACAACATCTCCTGACATACATAAAGTATATTGTAAGAAGCTGATAGAATTATAACATCCATAACTTGTAACAAAAGAAAAAGTATATTGTTAGAAAATATTTCATAACCGTAGAGATAAATCTAACATATAGTGTATAAATGTTATAAACAATTCATTCATTGAAGTTCATGATTCCTAAGATATACATTCATCTATGGTTAGAATTAACAATAGTCTTGATCAGCTGGTTGATTAGGATATAAAGAGTTAAAGCAATTTAAATACCGTGTATGCAGTGAACGCCGGATTCTTTGAGACGGTCAGACCAAGGAGAGGTTTTGCGGCAGTCGAAAGAGCGGACTTGGAGAGCACCACGGAGGAGGAGCTCAAGGCACACGACGGAGCCGACTAGTCCAAATTCACCCATCACAGCTACGACTTTGCCTTGTATACCTCTGTTCTCCTCTTCTTTGATCTCCATTTTGATTGTTCCAAAAATGGTCAACGAAGAGAGTTCAGTATTAGTATTGGCATGTTATGGTATGTATTAATGTATATATATATATATATATATATATATATATATTGTCGTTCGAAGCACCTGTTTATGCCAGCAGGATCACGTAGAGTTAATTGATAACGTGTTCATTTAATATCAGAATCCGCGCGCAAGTTATGCTAATTAATTGGTAATTAAGATTTATAGTTAATGAGCCAACGACAAAAACGAAGAAAATGTTGCTTAGGAAGACTATAATTAGCTAGTGGAAGTTCTTTTGATCTACCGGTTGACCAATAAATCTTGCACCATGTTTAAGTTTTAAAATCTCGAATATGATTATATATGTGCTTAGGACATGCAACACGCATATTAGCAAAGACCTCGGTTGTTTAAATTTTGGATCAGTATTGTTGTTTAATAAGCGCAAATGACTGGTTGAGCTATTATAATTGCTTTATTCATGACAATTTTTTTTTTGTCATTGTCAAGACATATACTTGAAATGTTTGAACATCCAAAAAAATTATAACTGTTGCGGTTAAAAGGAAAAAAAAAAGGAAAATTAAGTTGATTTTGTGTTGTTGTTAATAGATACTTAAAATAAAATTTCTTTATTTCTTAGTTTTTCTAGTAATAATATATTATAAGCCATAGATAGTTAAATATACATTTGAAATCATTATTTTAAATTAAATAAATTTCATAATCTAATACTCCCTCCGTTTCAAATTAGTTGTCGTTTTGGCAAAATGTATCTGCAAATATTTGGATGTATCTGGACGTGTTTTGCATTGCAGATACATCCAAATAATTGCAGATACATTTTGTCAAAACGACAACTAATTTGAAACGGAGGGAGTATTTAGTTAACCTTTTGTTTTGTTCATAGAAACATACATAAATTATTTATCTCCTGTATTGTTTTCTATTAATAATCTCTTCTAAAGTACATATGATTAGTTATATAATTGAGATCATTACCTTAAACTAAGATTGCCATACATTTTCTGGAAATATTTAGCCACAATCCAAATCATGAAATTTCAGCTATAAAATCCCAAAATCCAACTATATTAAGAAACTAAAACACACATTACAATAAAAAAATCTATTCATAATTAGTCAATTCTACTCATTTCCCCTACTTGTAATCGTGTATATATATACTTTGTACATCATTAGTAAAGTATTCATTCAACCTTTAATCATATAAAGAAAAAAATTAAGAAGAACAACTAGAAAATGATGAAGTTGTTAATTTGTCTCTCTCTCATCGTGCTCCCTCTCATTGCCGGTGCGGAAGTTCGTGAGCCCCCGGGATGCTGGAAGCGGATCAGAACTGTATCAATATACGACGAGTATGCGCAGTATGCGGTTCGTAAGCATAACGAGATGACAAAGGAGAATATAGTGTTTGTACGAATCCTCTCGGGGAAGCTGCAATTGGACTACGGCACAAGGTACTATTTTATAATGGAGGGGAAGAATGGAGATGGTAAGTTAGGGAAGTATGAGACTGTCATATTTGAAAGAATATCGGAAAAATACATTCAGGTTGAGTATTTCAGACCGTATTAAATATAATATATCTAAGCTCCGAATGAATAAAGATTTTTACATGATGTTGTTGGTAGTAATAATTTTATTAACGTGTATGTTCATTAAATATCAGAATCAGTAAGTTATGCTAATTAATTGGTAATTTAAGATTTGTAGTTAAATCATACAAGGACAAAAACGAAGAAAATGTTGCTTGAACATTAGTAAAACGTTGTTTAGCTAATGGAAGTTCTTTTAATCTACCGGTTGAGCAATAAATCTTGTATCATGTATCCATGATTACGTTTTAAATTATCGAATATGATTATACATGTACTTAGGACTTACAACACGCATATTAGCAAAGACCATAGGTTATTTGAATTTTAATTGGATCAGTATATTATTGTTGTTTTATTACTCCAAAATACTGGTTGAGCTACTATAATTGCTTTATTCAGGACAGTTTTTTAGTTTCTGTTGTTGTTGTTGTTGTTGTTGTAACTAGTCAAGACAGACACTTGAAATGTTTGGATTACATATTTCAATCAGTAGTTTAATTGTTTTTTCGCATCGATTTTTCAAGTTTCAAAACATTGGTTTTTCTTTACACAAGGCACAAATTTGAATAAACTACCAGATACGTATTTTAATATGATTGACTATACATGCAAAGCAAAACACACACATATGAGGATTACCAAAAATAAGTTCAAATGTGGCAAAGAAAAAAAGGAAAATATCCTTAAAAAATATTGTGGGTAATTTGGTAACACTATTTCCTAATCAGAGTTGGTCACGTGGCGTCTTCAGATTGGTTAATTTGACCAAGAAAAAGGCTTCCCTCAATCCTCTTCCTGCCTCAAATACAAAAAACTCTCCAGTCTAACGGCACGACGGTCCTGAGACATAATATTCGCCGTCAACACCAATCGGAACCTACCGGAGATATCAACGGTACGCTTACCCCACAACTCTCCGTTTTCGTTATGTTCATGATTTATCTTCTTCGAGTGACTTCGTTTTCGCCTCGATGAATTTCCTGGTTTTTCTGTCTGAGACTTGTAGAATGGAGATATTAGGCTTTTTTCTTACTGAGTGTTGTCTTGATTCTGGATTTACAAGTCAGATCCTGACGAACCATTTTCGCCGCTTATTCTTAGGGTTTTTGAATCAGGCGGTACCAAATTTCTGGATGCCAAAAAGGAAGAAACTTTGAGAAATTTAAAAGCAATTAGATTCGATTGAGCTTAGATTGTCAATGAATTCCACTGATTTGTATACTATGAATCGCGTTTTGCCAGATTTGTCTTACTGTGTGTGTTTGTTTGCCCCCTTTCATTAAGCTTCTCGTCTCCTTTCAAAAAAGGGGCAATCTTGTTCATGAATCACTTAATATCTCTTTTTTCTTTAACTTTCAATTCCATGTTCTTTGAAATCGCCTGTTTTTGGAGAAGGAATTGTATACAAAATGTTGTTGAAAGGATTAAACTTTGCCTCTGAGAAATAGACCTTTATTACTCTCAAAGTCTCAACTTTGCTTTGACTCATTGCTTGTTAAGAAATATCTTATTGGCCTCTTTGGCTTACGTCTTCAAACATGACGTGTGCTTGATTTGATTGTTTGTTTGTTATCTTCCAGGTTTTGGAGACCATGAACACTGAGAATAATCAGAATCAGAATCAGACTTTTCAGTCGAAAGTGATCTCACATGCATTTTCATCTGGTACTATCAAGCAAAGCCTTGTGTTCTCTTCCCTGGGTCTTCTCGATATTGGTGCGAGCGAAAACGCCTACATCTTCAGAGTCCAACTCCCTGGCACTGGCAAAAATCAAAGTAAGTAAAGGCTTTCACTTTCACACTTCTTTTCTCCAAAGAGCCGTCTCAATACAAAACTTTCCTCTACTTGTGACATTGAAACGAAAGTTACATTCTTTTCACTATCTGACCACCTTAAAATGCTATCTATCTTCTTCTTGTGATGTATAAGCAGATAAGATCAAATGTGAGATTCAGAGGGACGGAAGAGTCATCATCCAAGGAGTGGTTCCTGAGACAAGGATCGCAAGTGAATCAGGATGCTTATACAGAATGCAAGTGCATCAGAGCTGCCCTCCAGGTCCATTCTCAATCGGGTTCAATCTTCCGGGACCAGTGGATCCTCGCTTGTTTTCTCCAACGTTTAAACCTTTTGGGGTCCTTGAAGTCGTTGTCGTCAAGCTCGGTGTACGCATCCCTCCTCCATAGTTACTTATCAAAAACATGTTTGTAAAAAAACATGTTTTTAGTAATCTAATTTCGTAAGACAGTTAAAGAAAAAGTTATGTACTTTGGATGTGAAATGGAACCAAACGCAAACGGTACTCTGTTTTTAATAAAGTTTGGATTTTTAACCTTTTCCATCTTTAAAAGAGAAACCTTTTTGTGCCCATCGTGAGAACATAAAGAGAAAAAAGTGAACTTTATTAGATTTTATGATCCGAATAACGTTTGAAGAAGTCAACTTTAAAGTAGTGGACTCGATCCATGTAGCTAGTCAAAATCAAAGCATATTCCATAAGCTTTCAAAAGTAGAAAAATCAATGAAGAGAGACACAGACTTCAATTGTTTCTCAGTTTGTGTTATAAAAAAACGATTTTTTTTTTTTTAAAGTCCGACGAAGATGCCGGCGATAAGAGTGTTATCGGCGTTAGATGCGGCGAGGATACAGTGGTATCATTTCAAGGCGATAATAGTCGCCGGAATGGGACTATTCACGGACGCATACGATCTCTTCTGTATAGCTCCGGTTATGAAAATGATTAGCCAAATCTATTACCACAAGGACTCAATCGGAACCGCCGTGCTCTCAACTTCCTACGCCATCGCTCTCCTCGGAACCGCCATGGGCCAGCTCGTTTTCGGTTACTTAGGCGACCGAGTCGGACGCCGACGAGTCTACGGTCTCTGTCTTCTCATCATGGTGTTCAGCTCCTTCGGCTGCGGTTTCTCCGTCTGCACGACTCGTCGTTCTTGCGTCATGGCGAGTCTTGGATTCTTCAGGTTCGTGCTCGGTCTCGGGATCGGCGGAGATTACCCTCTCTCGGCGACGATCATGTCGGAGTTCGCTAATAAGAGGACGCGTGGAGCTTTTATCGCCGCCGTGTTCTCGATGCAGGGGCTTGGCATTTTGACGAGCTCTGCCGTTACGATGGTTGTGTGCGTGGCGTTTAAGAGCGCCGGAGAGGGGAGTTTGGGGAGTAAGAAAGCGGCCGGGGTGGAGACTTTGGCTCCGGCGGATTCAGATATTGCTTGGAGGTTGATTCTGATGATCGGTGCTCTTCCGGCGGCGTTAACGTTCTATTGGCGAATGCTCATGCCTGAAACCGCCAGGTTCCATTCATTTCTATTATCTCTTCTCTTTTTTTTTTCTTGTTTTTTCATAAATATTTTA